TCTCTTGGCATTTGGGGAAGCATTTTTTAATTAATTAATAAAATTGTTAAATTAAAAACAAATTAAGAGTACTCTTTAAAAATAGTGTGATAGCCGAAATAATTATTAGAGAATCAAAAATAAATACATATTGAAACTTAAGTGTTTTTAATTTGACATTTTTATTATTTAAATATTCTATTCACTTCCACATTCCAACACAATAAACCCACGCTTTGAAAGGATTTCAGTGTACATAAATAAAAAGTACAGGAAGTATGGAAAATATCTTTCTAGATATCGATTGAAATTGTTTAATTATACACTCGAAAAAAATTGATAAAAAATGTTTTTTTAATAAAAACCAGAAAAAACTTTTTAAATGAAATGAAACAAATCATGTTTATTTTATCTGTAACATAATTCATTTGTTTTAGGTTTTTACATGCGGTCTGAATATACATAAAGTTCTTGGTTTGAATCCACCTCCCCCAAATGTACTTGCACCAAGGCAGGTGCAAATAAATGACGTTATAGTCGGTGTATGCGCAGCCAGATATCATACGATTGCTTTCACGAAAGTCAACATTTACGCTTGGGGTTTACATGGTGGTCAATTAGGCTTAGATAAAACCGTTGATCGATATGTTATTACCCCGAAACTCATTACTGCTTCATTTGGCACAGATTCAAAAATCAGTTTGGTCTCTGCCAGTAACGGGGCCACAACTATTTATACTAGTAAAGGGGACATTTATGTTTTACATGAATACCAATGCCGTAAAATTGCGTCTAGGTAATTCGTAACTCATTTGTCACTATTTTTGTGCTTACTTTTTATTAATTGTTTTAGAAAACTGGATATTGTTTCTATTAGCGTTGTCGGCGGTAAATTAAATAAGGATACATCAGATGAATCTTTAAAGGAAACACATGAATTAATAATAATTGCGTTAAATATCTCGGGAAGTTTGTATTTATGGCGAGAAACTTATCCTCAGTTTTCAAAATGTGTTTACTCAATTAGTCGAGGTTTAAAGGTAACTCATGTAGCATTGAATGATAATGAAGTGTTATTTGTGACTAATACTGGTGAGGCATTCCAAGGAAATATTAAACCCAGAAAAGGTAAACCCGAAATTACTGCAGAACACCAAAAAAAATCTGTCAGTTTAGAGTTTCCAGAAAAAGGAGATTGTCAAATGCTAAAATTGAAAAAGATTCCAAGGATTCATAGAGGACTTGCAATTTATAGTGACTTAAAAGGACTCAATTTTGCAGTTCTTCAGGTTCGTATATTATATTTGAATTTATCATTTATAAGTAAAGGCATGCAAATTACATATATTAATATTTTTTAAATTCTTTGAATGGGCCACTTTACAATCCTTCAAAAACTTAAGATATCATTTGTAAAAACTTAAGAAGTACTTTTTACAGTTTTGCAAAATGGCCCATAAAGTCCTTGGAAATATAAAACAATAAATCAGAAACTAATATACAATAAGTTAAAGGGCATGATGTAGGAATTGTATTATTTTTTGAAAATTGCGTCAAAATGTCCCTCCTCACGATCACATCACTCCTGTAGGCGATCTGTAAAATATCGAAGACTGTGTGTGTGTGCAAGTCAATTCTGTGATGTTAGTAATTGCTCTTCGGATATTTTCTTTTAGGGTATCAGTCGACCTCCTGATCTCGAGTTTGTATAGTACACTTTACATTTAAGGTAACCTTATAGAAAAGTCTGATAGAGTTTAATCCAGACTATATTGTAGCTAGTGAATGTTTTTTCTTTCTCTCATTTTGTTAGGGATAATATGTCAGACGGTCGGTATATATGTAGGTGTTGGAGGTATAAGTCTTCGGAAAGTTCTATAACTGGTGTAAAAAGTTCTCAATCAATCACTCGGTCTGTTTCATTAAAAAATATAGGCCTATGATGTCACGCAACTGACATAATGACTCAAACTATCACTACCACTATGTGTGGGATTTTCCCAGTAACGGCAATTTTGTTTACTTACTTGCCTATGAATATTGACCGAAAGTTTTTTTTTCGCTTTATTGGCGCATCATATATGTTTAATTCGAAATTCACATTTCTAAAGACTTATAGGCCACCCTGTATTCTTTTTTATTTTTATTATTTTCTTCAAGTAAATGGTTATATTCATAAAAATATCTCTTAAGGATTAACAGTAACTGTATCGTATATCGCTATACCACTATCACTGGTATATCCTCCCTAGTACTTGCATTACTGCTATTGTAATTAAAATAAAGGTATTAATAATCCACTTATTTATTTTACAAGAAGACACAATAACTGTAAGGGGGTACCAGATACTAAAACACAGCACTTACAAAGTTTGAAATATAAGAAAGAAAAAGGAAAATATAATAGTTGCTGGTACACTAAAAAGTTTATACGCTTATGCCTGAAAAAAATAGCTGCCATTATTTATTGGTTCGTTTTTATCAAATCGTTTAATCTTTAGGCTAATGGGGTTTTAAGTGTTTAATATTTTTTAAATGATTAGGTAATTGATTAAATAATAATGTACTAATGTATCTGGATATTTTCTTCCCACTATTTATTTAGGTTTATAGATGGTAANATGCATTTAAGATTATGAACTATTTTAATACTAATGAGTACCCACATTCGTACAGGAATGAACTGAATAAAGCTGCAATGGTACCTACGTTATTAGTTTAATAAGTAAATATTAATAGTGCTTAAGCATATTAAATAATTTCGGTATTTTTTATTTAAATCTAGCGTAAATTAATTTTGATTAATTACTGCTATTTGAATGTATTAATACTACATATTTTACTCCTATTACTTTATCAGTTGAGTAAAAAAAGAAATGGTATAAAAGGTCAGTCAAAATTAGTCTTATTGCAAAATAAAAAACTAATATATAAATTAATTACTATAAGTCCTTACTGTTAATTTTTGCATAAAAGCTTTGATGTTTATTATAAAAAGGTATAAAAGAAGATAGTAGTAATAGGAGTTTGGTAGAAGTAAGTATAGTACCTAAGTATTATTATTTTGCATTTTATTCATTTGTTTTCTCTAAAAAATTCATATTGACTAGACCTACCTACTTACCCAATAAAACCTTGTCTAGAACAAATTCTATACGTGGACTTGTTTTCTGTACAATACATCTGGGAGACATTAAAACAATCGGAACTACTTTCTTAAATAAAGCCAAAATTTAGGTACCTATATCGGAAGACAAAACTAAAGAAAAAATTATAATGTACTATTAATACTTTTGAAAAAAGGCTCACAGAAATAAAAATGGCAACTGTGTCATCGTAGTGTGTATTGTCTAATGCAGCTTTTTTTATGGTAATCAAAAATATTTTAGTTTAATTCTCCCCTTTTTTAAGATTCTTGTATAAAGATAATCTTTATGTCATTATCAACTTATATTTATATTTAAAACAATAAACATTATAGAATTACTTGCTTTCGTAAAATCATATCTCTGTTTGGCACGTTGCCGTGCCATTCTCATTAGTCGGATTTATCCGTTATTTTATATTTTACTTTTTTGAAATTATGTAATACTAACACTAAACACATTTTTGAAGTCATATAGAATAAAACAATGTATACCTACAAAGAACACTTCGTAAATATAGCCTGTAAGGACTAATAACTAGCGTTGAGTCCCGTATATTCATCAAGCTTATGCGTATAATGACGTAACGCCTGACCACGTCCCTTTTCCTTAGAGGACGCACTTTGTAATTATTTTTAAGGCACTAAACGTGCGAATAAAATTTTGTTTTTTTGCAGATCTCTCATTTTTTGGTTGAACTTTTGATTTATGAATTAAAAAAAAATTGCTGAACAAGCCCATTTAATTTATAGAAAAAAAATCGCTACCGCAACCCAATGTATAAAAAATCATAACATCCACAAAAAATGACTTAAGAGTATTGAAATTTTTACTAGTCATAGTCGTGTCTTATGGCTAATATTAAACCACAATTAAGCTATATAATTTATACTGAGCGTTCAGAAAATGGCACCTACCATATTTTATTTTGTCATTTGATTTCCCTTTTTGTCGTCTTTCGATCCATGCGGATGTTTTATATTGCTTTATTTGAAAATTTTTGAATAAATTTAGATTTTTATCTAAACACTAATTCGAAATATTTTAGTATTTCTACAAAAGATCATTTCATTAATTATAAGTATTACGTTCGCAATCGCAATTTACTTTTGAATAATGTAAAGTTTTTCTTTTTCGCAACCTGTATAATCAAATTACAGTCAGAAAAAAGGATACAAGGATTTTTAGCATCAATATTACAACAGTCTAATATAACAGCTATTCCATCCATTTCTCTCACCTGCAAAAAAGATTTTAAAATATTAAAACTTACATCAATACAGTCACAGAGAATAGTACTTACAAAATCCTGGTTTTCTTTATGCTTCCAACACATATTACTAATCATTCTTATTAAATCTACTTTGAAGCCAATTGCGGGTGTAGAGGCTTCAAATTCTTCAGTGTTTGTGATTAATTGAGAAATTTTTTGTATGGGAGTAAATTCTTGGTGTCCTTGTTTTCCAGCTTGATGAACACTTATTAGCAAATACATGCAATTTATAAGCAAGCTTTTATCATTTTGTATATATTGCAACTGTCCTTCATAACTACTCAAAGATGCTAATATTTCTAATAAAAGTATAACTTCTCTCACATCGATACTGCTAAGGTATTCTGGAGTTGTTTTTAAAATGCAATCCGATTTTTTTTTAAATTCTGTTGCAAAAGATAATAATTGTTCTCGTGAAATATTAAAGGATTCGTCTTTCTTCAAAACCAGTTTCTGTTTAATTGTTTCTAATAAAATAATTCGATGTTGTAATTTAAACGATGCATATTTATCATGGATATGATCATGCTTTAAGAACAGTTCAATTAAGAACAACACATACTCGTTCTCTTTTCCATGCTCAAAATAATTCAAAATTATTTCATAGGTACCAATATTTAGCAATATTTTGGGACATTTTATCATAATGTTGTACAATAATGCACATGTATAGTATGAATCACATTTTTTACATAGATCTGGGAAAATATCTGATAACATAGACCAGACCTTCTCAGAACTATTCTCATTTCCAACAACTAGGTTTATTAAGAACTGGAAAATAATTTTCACACAAGAAGTCCACTTCTTACATTCCCTATCGTTAATTAAAATTAACATAATTTCTTTCACATTCAGCAAGGAATTTTCTTTATTAACAAAATAATTTTGCCTGTCATTATCTGCAACCATACAATTTCTTAATGATTTGAAAATTTCTTTTACCAAGTCCACTATTTCGGACTTTATATCTAGTTTAAGACGATCCTTAATGTCAGTTAATAAAAAAAAGAGATAATCCAATTCTTCCTTTCCTACGTTTAATCTAACAATAAGTGGAAAAAAGCATTTAATACTTCTGTAATTAAAAACATTATTATACCTACTCTGAACGGTTCCCGTAAATATCAATTACAATTTCAAATTTTCTCCGAAGTTCTTCTTGAATTATTTTTAAATTTTCATCATCTAAACTTCTCCATTCGATGCCTTCCATTTAAAAATAAATACTTTCCCAAATCAAATTTAAATTAGATTTCTGATAAATAAAATGGCATACACATAACCTATTATTCTGATGGATGATAAAAATGTTAAGTCTATGGGTTTAGGTATATTATAGAGGTCGTTCAGAATCTAATGAACCTTGCCCTTGAAGAGTTGCACAATAACAAAATTCCTACCTCTTAAAAACATTGGCCGTCCTGTTTATGGGGTTTATTTGGAGCTCCGTCCCTCATTGTACAGCGAAACACATAGATAATGGAATGGAATAAGGTCCACCTTTCATGATGTTAATAAAATTTTGAACTAGCTATACTTATCTATGAGCTATCCTGATATTAAGTGCGAGGTTGCCAAATGTAAGTTTTCATACAACTATTATACGAATGAACAAAATTCTTAAAATAATCAAATGTACAATAATTGTAATGAAACCTTTTTTTAAATTTTATGAGGCCTTTGTACCACTTTCGTAACATTAATAAACTATCTAAAGATGATTAAGGGTTGTTCTACTGTAGAAATATGTATACGAAAATAAACAGGAACAATCTGGCTATGAGGATACATGACGGATACGACAAACTGATAAATCATATGTAATTGGTAAACAAGAAATTGTCAAATCAAAATAGTCAAATTATTAAAAACGCTTGGTTTTGTGAGTGCTGTCATATTACGAAATCTTATTAATATTTTCAAAAAATTGTTTATCTTTTCGTTAAAGTTATTTTTTTTCCTAGTTTTAAACGTGAGGTATGTCAGGTATTATAATTTTTTGAAAGGTGATAACAATAATTTTAATTATTAAAAACTACTTTTCTCTTTACAGATTGCTAAATATTTAAAGGATGTCAGACACACCAGATTGCACAGAACGTTGTTCATCAGAAATCCATGGAGATATATTATGTGCAGCCTTAACTAAACGAGAAGTAACTGATTATCAACTCTGTGCATTTTTATCCAAAACATGTTATTGTTGTGGAACTGTAAAGGATTCTTTAGGTCGTACTAGTTTACATATTGCAGCCAGTTGTGGTCGTACAAATATTGTAAAGTGGTTAATCAATTACAAACATGCAAATATTAATGTTAAAGATATTGAATCTGGGTATACTCCTTTACATAGAAGTATTTATTATGGAAAAATTCACACTGCTATTTCTCTTCTAAAAATGGGTAAGTGTCCTTTGCTGTTTTTGTAAGCAGTTATTCATAATAAAAATAAAATGTTTCAACTTTTAGTTATTAGACACTTAAATGTTATTTTAAATATATTTATTTTCAAAATAGTTATTAATTATTACAGGTGCTTGTATTGACACAAGTGATCTTGATGGTTTAACTGTATTAGAACATGCAATGAAAGATTTACAACTTCCATTAGAACCATGCATATCAAATAGTGGTGAAATATATGTGTGGGGACAGAATACAAACTATACATTAGGGCCTCATCAAGCAAGATCATTACCTGAACGCCTAGATTTATTTTACAAAGAAAATCCGGATGTTGAAATTTGTTGTGTTTGTCTGGAAAAATTTCACAGTATTCTATTAACAAGAGATGGAAAAGTTTTTGCTAGTGGGCATGGGCAAGGTGGACGATTAGGATTGTCTACTGAAGAAACAGTATTATTGCCAAAACAAGTCAGGTTTGGAAAAGCAGTAGCCTTGTTTAACATTAAACAAATTAGTATTGCAAGAGATCATAGTGTCTTCTTAAATGAAAATGGGCAGGTAAATGTAATTTTTTTTTATTTTTATTTTTAAAAGAGAAAAGGTAGTAAAAAAATAAATAAATCAAAAAAAGAGACTTACTCCATTAATTGACTAACACTGTTTACAGTGGACTCATGTTTCACCTAATTCAAATTTTTAAAAACTAGAACTGTAGCTAGTATTACAATATATTGTGGAAGAAAACAAATTATAGTTGAACAAGCCTGATCTACGATTTTATTATGTAAAACCTTTGAAAGTTTTTAAAAGATCAAAACTATCAAAATCTTTCTTATTTATTCAATAAAATTTAATTCCCTTTTTTGATTTTTGTTCTTTCTAAAATTTATAGTTTTTCCCTTATTTGATGTTTCAAGTAAAATTATCTAAATCTAAATGATAGTCCTTATTCAAATGTTCAACTAAACTTGCATTTTTTGGATGCGAATTACAAATTACATTTAATAGAACATTTTGTTAAAAAAAGCATTAATTTATTGAATTGAATATATGAATTTTATTGGCAATTGCAAATAAAAATAAATAACACAGAATAATAATAATATTATTTTAGATATAAACAATTTCAAATTGATATTT